TTTCTATTTCAACCTCTCTTCATCACACTTAACAGTATAACATCCTTAAAGATAAAGTATCAGAAAAACCAATAGCCAAAATGACCCCAAAATTATAAATACATAAAGACAATGTTACAACTTTCATTCAATCAACAACTATTATCTAATTCAAACCTACTGAGCAATTAATTACACTGTGCATGTTGAATTTTACTCAGCTGGATTAGCATAACAAACTTGTACTGCTTGAACTTTTTAATATTCATAATTAGTTTAGGTAAACTCAATATCAAAATTATCAAAGATTTGAGCAGGGAATTAGTTCATGCGATTTTAGTATCAAAATAACAGATTTTAGCTGTCAACAGTATGCCAAGTAAGCCAGCATTCTGGTTAAATAAGCAAGTCATTATCAGCTAAAGCAAGAAATAATGTTGTTTTTTTCTCAACAAAGAAAAGCTTTCTTGTACTTTATTAACTCTTAAATTACTGGATCCAGGTATTTTTTGGTTTGCTTTAATTCCATTTTGATGTCATGTTCCCTTTCAAAAAATTATATTTTTTCCCAATCTCAAGAAGAAAACTTACAATTCAAGTTACAAAAAACCCCATCAAAAACTGAAGAAAAGTAATGAAATTATCGTAATCTTAAGACATCTTAAATGCACTATGTTAAAGAAAATTGTGTTTTTGCATAATAGATTTAAAAGAGTGCTTAAAAGTGAAATATTATAGGATTTGAATGATGCAATATTTCGTTTCTTCATTTTGTTTGATACATGCAATACAGAGCAAGTTTTCCAAAGTTTGTCTAATTCTGGGGGCGTAGGGGCAAGTCACATTCCCAAAATGGTGAGAAAACTTTAGAATATGAGTGTGCCAGCATTTACCATTATAGTATGAAGCGAGGCCAGCTTGCACATTTGTATAAAGTATCTGATAAGGTTCTTTACTGTTTATAGCTAAATTTTTTTGTACTTATATACTGAAATCCCTTAATTTTTGTATGGACTGTTCCAAACTAAAAGAAAGGCAAATCCATTACACACATTTTAGCTGGTTAATGATTAAGGGCAAACTCACAATGAATTTTTTCTCCCAGACATCCATATGTAGAAAAATTACCATATTTCCATGTATGTAAAATTATTTTCTAGTGATTATTTTAAGTATTCTTTATAAATAGGCAAGATCCAAATATATATATGCATACACTCATTAACTTAGAACAAGTCGGTAAAATCAAGTAGAATAGAAATCTATAGCAAATCTAAAATTTTGGACTTCTAAAATTCAATAAAGTACAAGAAAACAGATTTCTGTAATAATATAACTTTGAAACATTTGACGAACTTAAAACTGTTGGTGCAAAATGATAACAGGAATGTAACAGACCTGGTGGTTGTTGCGAGCCTAAAAAATTATTTAGGCTTCTAGTTATAATGCATAAACAATTAACCTGTCTTATTCTAATTAACAGATTTGTGGATACCATAAGAATTTCACCACAACATATTTGTTAACAAAAGAGCACATGTTCAAGTCTGAGGTAGAAGCTATTGCTATTAAATTAAAAGGTCAGATTAGGGCTCTATGAATTGAATGAAAATCAATGATTGTAAACAACAAATTACCACAAACATTACTGACACTATAGTTAATTTAATTACAATCTCACATTACTCATGGTATAATAATAACCTTGTTCCATCCAACTGAATCAATAATAGACAAAATGTCTCTGAAATCTGGCATATTTAGGATGCTACCCATGCCCATCCATTTTTCATGCACATTTTATTTGTACACAGCACTTGAAGATAAAAGTTTGATATTTCTCTGTCAGATTGGTTAATTCCTCAAAACAATTTTGAATTCTGACCAATGACAGAGCTTCATTTATAACCATAAGTTCTCATCTCCAATTCATAATCTATCATAAAAGAAAATACAATTAACTATTATTTAGTATCACATTAAACTTTGCTGCAAAAAGTCGACAGCAATTGTAGTCTAGCTAACTATAGAATATACACTATAATACCTGTAACCATCATTATCTCGTGAAGATGGCGTCCTTGGGGACCTATAACGAACATATGCTCTGGTTTGGCCACTCTTACTGTCATCTCAGTGTATGAATCAGAAATATCTGCCACTGGAACATGCTGAAAAATTCATACTGAAATATTCATTAACAGTCAAAATATCTGTGACTGGAATGTGCTGAAAAATCCAGGAAAAGTCAAAATATTTGTTACTGGAACATGCTGAAAAATTCATAAACAGTCAATATATTTGTGACTGGAACATGCTGAAAAATTCATAAGAAGTCAAAATATCTTCGACTGGAACATGCTGAAAAATTCATAAACAGTCAAAATATCTGTTACTTGAACATGCTGAAAAAGTCATATAAAGTGGAGGAAGACCTCAGGTGCCCTTCCGTGCATTATTTCAGGAACGAACGGGCACCTAAGTAGAACCACCAATGTTCTGTAAGCTAGCCAGATAGGTTCCTCACATGAAGGAATCCAAAGTCCCCGTCAGGGTTTAAACCCATAGCAGTGAGGGGCAAGTGGTTTTAAGTCAAGTACCTTAACCACTTGGCCCCAGTCACTCCGAACAATTAATCAGAGAATAACAGCCTACAAAGTGAAATTTAATTTTGTAATTTTGATGATAAAAATTTGGTAAAACCTGCTGTCTCTGGTCTGATGAACCCTGTCTCACATATCCTGCCTGAACATTCTTCTGTTTATTAGCACTGGTAGGTCTATCAATGGCAGACTGAAACAGAAAATAAATGTACTTAAAATGTAAAGCTTATGCTGAGTAAGTATATTTTCTCGCTCAATTTCACACCCTTTTTTAAACACAAAATATCTAAATTAGTGAAGTTCAAAGTAAATTGGTGGCTGAACTGTGCTCTGGTGAATTCAATGTAGTTTGCTGCTGAGATTAGGAGATTCAACCACAAACACTACAAGCACTCAATTGGAAAATTTTTATGGCATTTTCTCATTTTTCTGTATTTCTTTCTTTCAAATCGATTCATTGTAATAAATAAGAACATTTTCACTATTACATGTAAATCAAGCTCATTCCAATTTATAGTAAAATCAAAGCATACACTTATATTAGTCTGACATTATGAATGACTTACCTGCATTTTATTATCAGTATTTTGAGCACCCTGTTTGTTTTTCTTTTTCTGTTTATTTGATCCCTGATTCCCAGGAGGAATTTCCACCTGCATTTCCTTGAAAGTTGAGAAACAATTTTATTGTAACATGATAATATGTTTTGTACCACAACCTGAGGAACAGGAACTGCCCGATGAATAATATATTCATACTTCATTCTTAAAGTCCCTCAACAATACAGGAACTAAAACTTACATTGATTTCTGTTTGTGAAATATAAATCAACGCTTGTTTTGACTTAAACTGAATAATTATGCTATTAAATATTTCTTAAAATCACACATACGACAATTGAATTGTCTTGTTTTTTTGTAATTTTTTGAAAGCTACATTTTGTTCATGTTTGTAATAATGATATTCACAGGTTATATGACACTGTATAAACAAATGTTTCCAATAAAATCCTTCACTAGTGGTTTCTCTTTTATAAGCTTAGGGCAGGTTTTAAAATAGGACATACAACATGTAACAAATCTCTATAATTTATAATATGCAAGTACACATTTCATTCCCTATGAAATAACTGAGAAGTAAATGTTTGGTTAATAAATTTTAGAGCATACAATTTTAAAATGGGCATTCATTACAACTAAAACATATCATATCTTCTAATTTTCAATATCTAAAACCGTTAAAAAGCATGAATATACTGCACTGGACAAAATTACCTGACTAGGGTTCTGAGGTCCCTTTCCTTTCTTTTTATTTTTCCCAGCAGGCTGCTGCTGTTGTTGTTGTTGTTGTTGGTTTTTACTTGCTGACAAGGGTCTGTCTATGCCACTATCACTACTTGCTGCTGGGGATTTCTCCTTATTCCCACCTTTTTTTCCTGACTTTGGCCTCTCCAATTTTTGTTCCTGCTATTCATAAAATGTGGGAAATAAAATCTGATAAATAACCAATGTGGTACCAAACAGTTTTAATTAGAATAAAAAATGTTGGGACGGATGGACGGACAAGCGCAAATCTTAATGTCCCCATTAGTGGATGCACAATAAACAAGAACTGGTTGAACCAGGTGATGCTCCCCGAGTAGGTTTTGGACACAGAAAAGTATACCTTTTGAAGTGTCAGAGTTTTGTCCTTGACAAAGTTCAAAGTGTAAAAATGAACAAAGGACAATAACTCCAAAATCAAGCGAGACAGAGTTAAGGTTCTTTTGCGCTGCACTTCTATTTAATAAGATCAATCTACCTACAAACCTCTTATGATTTTAGAGCAATGTCTCGGACAAAGTTCAAAGTGAAAAAAAATATCAAAGGGCAATAACACCAACATTGAGCAAGGCAGAGTTATGGCTCTTTTGCACTGCACTTCTATTCAATAAGATCTATCTACCTACACAGTTTCATGCTGATATCTGTTATAGTTTTAGAGTTATGGTTCTTTAGCACTGCACATCTACTCAATAAGATCTATCTACCTACAAAGTTTCGAATTGATATCTCTTGTTGTTACAAAGTTATGTCCCCGGCAAGAGTAGCGGACGGACGAACAAAGTGGCAACTACATGTATATGCTCACCCTTTGTGAAGCATAATTAAACTATTTATGTAGAAAATTACCTCTACATTCTGAGGTTGATGCTGATCTGATTCCTGGTTCCCCTTCTGTTTCTTATTCCTCTTTTTCTTGCCCTGACCTTCACCTTGAACCTATTAATATCCATCTTCGTATTTGACTGAGTTGTCACAAAGTTAAACATTCAACTGTTAATTTTTGATATGAAAACTTTGGGAGAGACTCAGAACCAAATATAAAAGGCTGTCAGCTATTTAATCTACATAATACAGTATAAACAAGCATTTGATAGTATTGCGGGCAATACAGTAGTCCCCTACCGGTCCCTCAAAAAGTTCTTTAATTGTCATACACTCCTGTATATTGCCATTTATAATGAATTTGAGGATGAAGTCTGTATTTGAAAATATCAACCACAAAACATAATAAAATAAGTTTGTCTATATCACAGTAATGTGTTAAGTTTCCATGCTTAGTAAGGAAATTATGTTTATACAACCTTGTCATATTATTACGATGTGGGATTTTAAAGTAAATCCTATAAGGAATGAAGAAGTTGGAGTGAAAATACCAGTTTCTCGAAAAAAATCTAAGTTCAAGGGGGACAATATCACAGTAATGTGTTAAGTTTCCATGCTTAGTAAGGAAATTATGTTTATACAACCTTGTCATATTATTACGATGTGGGATTTTAAAGTAAATCCTATAAGGAATGAAGAAGTTGGAGTGAAAATACCAGTTTCTCGAAAAAAATCTAAGTTCAAGGGGGACATAATTCTGGAAATAGTCTTGCTAGAGTATTTAACCTTCTCAAAAATGTCGAGTGATAATAAGAAACATATGTATGAAGTTTGAAGTAGATACATTAAGAAATAAAGAAGTTATTTAAAAAAGACAACATTTTTTCCCCTAAAAAATCTAAGTTCAAGGGAGGTAATACTGATATTTTTTGTGCTAGAGTTATAAGCCTTGTCACATATGATGTGGTTGATGACCAGAAACTTATATTTAAAGTTTGAAGTAAACACCTTAAGAAATAAAGAACATATAGTGAAAAAGCTGAAAAATTTAAATCAGAAATCTTGAAATTCAGGCTATTTGTTGCCATAGCAACCAGAATTTTCAACATAGGAAGAAAAGAAAAAGATGTGCATAATCTCCAGACTGCCATCTACCAATATTTCAAGTTTCATAAAAATATTTTCAGTACTTTTTAAGTTATCACTGGATCCAGTTTATGTGTTAAATTTGCCATATTTTCAGACTATTTGTTGCCATAGCAACCAGAATTTTCAACATAGGAAGAAAAAAAAAAGACGTGCATAATCTCCATACTGCCATCTATCCATATATCAAGTTTCATAAAAATATTTTCAGTACTTTTTGCGTTATCGCGGGATCCAGTTTTGTGGACGGACGGACTGACGGACTGACAGACTGACAGACAGACAGACAGACAGACGGACAGACAGACAGACGGAAGGAGGGTAAACCTAAAGTCCCCTCCGGTTAAACCGGTAGGGGACTAATAATACATGAATAAACCAATCAACATCAGGGAAATAACTTCTACGCTCAATGTAGTTCAACACATTTTTATCAATTCAACACACTTTTATTAATTCTCCCTTTTTTTAGCATGTTAGATTGGAATATATATTATTTTTTTGCATTATAGTATAATAATGCACAGTTTATCTTTCAAATGCTTTATAATTAATCACTCAGACCTATTGGCCTTCGTGATTGTATTTCAGTGCATCTGAACTTGAACCATGCATTAATCTACAAAAAAGAACTCAAAAGTGATATCTATTTCGTAAATATTTTCATTATTTCATGCTTCTTGTGTGTTTTAAATTCATTTTTACAGATTTTGGCTATATTGCGTCATGCCTTTTCCATTATAAAGTCCAACAAATTGTGTTTCACAGTTTATAGAATTTTGTTACATTTGGGCTTGAAAGTGCAAACATTTGCTCTCAATATGCTTATTTTACACTTACAACGGTGTGTATTTCTTCTGATATTTGTATTTCATTGATGATACACAATATTTATCTGCATTAAAATAAAGTTTGGCTATGGTGAAATAATATATTACACTGTGTAATTATCACAATATATATTTTACTCCTATATATCAGTCATTTACATGTATTGAACAGCATAAAAATATGTACCTATCAACAGCTTATAAATCACAATGTTTTGAGGGAAAATTAACTCAAGATATTCAAATTCAGAACAAGGACATTTTCAATACATCTGTAACAAATCTCCAGTCTCAAAATTATCTTTGTTTCCCTTCCCACATTTGCTAATTTGGGTAGGGTAGGTAGGAACAATATTTCTTTTAAGAAATTTTTGTTTCTAACTAAATAACATGGATTTAAAAAAAAAGTTTTTGTTTGGTTGGCAATCAATTTTTTAGGTAGCTATGATATTGTTGGTAGGTTAGTGGGAGGAAAAAAAACAATATTCTATTTTAGGCCATACCTGTGCGGCTCCAGCCTGTGGACCTTTAGCCGTACCACCATTTTGAGAAGTGTCACTTGTAACAGCCATCTAAAACATAAAATTATACAAATATAGACATTAACCCTTTACCTGCTGGTACACAAAGTAATTAACCTGTGCCATCAATATACAACTAAGACAGCCTGCACATCCAGGTAAAGGCTTAAACAAAAGAGTTACTCATTGGATGAGTTCACATTTTTTTTTTTATTTTGAAAATTCTGATGTTTACATAATGATCTTGTTAAAAACAAAATTTGTTGGACTACCTTCATACAGTCATACAGATTTACCTCTGTGACATAACTCAGAATTATCTCCATTTAAAAGCAGAATAGACTGACTCTGATTTTCACCCGCATTACAACATTTGTTATATAACTTCTTTTACTGAATAAATTTACAAACACCAGCATAATATGAAATATATCTATCTTCTTTAAGTAGTGGAGACTTGGTTAAAGGGTCAAACTTGTTTTTCAATAAGCTTATAGCTTCTAACACTACCAAACTAAAATAAATTTATATAAACTATGAAATCCTTATTCTTCGTTACTTTTCGAAAATTTGATTTGAAACAATAGATAAATAAGCAATAAAAAACACGGACATTTTTCCAGTGGGACTGTGGTCCTACTTTGCTCTAAATTGATTGACCTTGTAGAAAACATTCTTACCATCTCATTTTTTTTCTGTGGAGGTCTTTTCCCCATTGACATCAATAGTTGAGAATAGGAACCAAGCTCCTGGTTCCCTGACTGAACTTGACCTTGATTACCTGTAATTATGTACAGTCATTAAAAAACAAAAAATTATAGTTCTGAAAATAAAAATAAAAACCCCAATGCATTTAATCTATTTAATCTACCAGTTGTGCTATCGCAGTATGGAGAACAGACAATACTGCACATTCATTTATATTCGTGGGCATGAAATTTTGTGGTTTTATCAAAACGGGCATTTTTGTGGGTTCTTAAATTCATGGATTTTCAATTTCTTGTAAAAAAATAAAATAAATAACCTAATGCAAAGTAATCTTACACTTTATTGCCGCACATTATACTAACTCCATGTACATATCTTTAGTATCACACAGGCTTGTCAATAAATTTAATCCTTGCCTCTGGGCTTTCATTTCACAAAAATCGGCGAAAAAGTGCCGATGCATGTTTGTAACATAAAGAATAGAGACATGGCAAGAAGTATTTGTTGGGATAAAATTTTGTGGGATCTTAAATTTTTGGATTGACCTACCCATGAAATCCACGAAAATTTGTGCCCCACGAATAAAAATGATTTTACAGTAAAAGGTTTACAATGTATTTGCCTATCATGTGCCTTATGCGCATTTTTTTTTTTGCCTTAGACATAATCATGAATTTTTAAATTAGGTATTGTAACATTGTAACCATTATAAAATATATAAATTAAGAAGAAAAACATTTTCCAAGATAAAAGCTATGCAAATGGTACCAGTCTTTCTAATTGCCCCATTGCCTTAAAACTGATCTGAGCTGGAAATGTCTGAAAATTTTCAAGACTAAATAGTGAAATGTCAACTTTTATTGACAACTGGGAAAAGGCCTGTATCTGACATCTATTTTGTGCAAATAAATTGAGAACGATGTTGATGATAATGTTGACAGCAATAATATGTGTAACCACTGTTTTAAATGTTTTATATAGAGAAGATGTCAGTAACTTGCAGAAAAAAGTAAGTACAGGGAACAGCTGTTAGGCTAAGGTAACTGCCTACTGATAAATCACAGTGATTGATCTCATTCAACAAGAAGGGTAGAACCAAAAACAACTTTACTGGACAAAAGCTCTCCCATCAAATAAAAACATAGTGTAAAAAGTACAAAACTCTCCTATAGAATTTGCAGACCTGTAGGAAAAATGCCTTCCACATAAAATTTGCATGTAGGAAAACAGCCTTCCCAGAAAATTTACAGGTATGAAAAAATTAATGTACTACAATAAATAACTGCATTTATCAGTTCAAGTAAAATATCTACATAACATGTTATATATAAACACCATAGCAACAAGTTCATAACATATACCATAATAAGGTACATAAATACCATATTAGCAACAACTTAAATTATAATGTACCTTTCTTCTTAGGTGACTTTTTGTTTTCACCCTTCTTCTTAGGTGTCCCTTTATTGGATTCTTCTGTCTGATCTTGCTGGTTGCCAGCTTTCTGTACCTGCCTCACATTATCTTCAGACTCAACTTTAATCTTAGGCCTAGCACCAGTTGAAATATGTAAATCTTCTACATCATGTGTTACTGATGTCAAATCTTCCTTTAACATGGTCTCAAACTGTAACTGTTTCTCAGCACTAACACTAGCTACATGTACACCAGTCTTATTAGGCTTTTTATCAGTATTATTGTCATGTGAATCACCTTTATTTCCATCACTGGAATGTAAAGTTGCTAGTTCTGAATCTATCAATAGACTTAAAGAACTTCGGCGATGAGGATCTGGCAAGCCCCCTAAATCATTATACTTAGCTAGTCCTTCAACCATGTTGCATATCTTTTTTCTCTCCGCTTCTGACATACTTTTAGTTTTTTTACCTATTTTGAAATTAAATTTAAACTGTTCAGTAGTTTTGACTAAATCTGCATCTACCATGTCGCTAACTACAGGACCTGGAGATTCTGCAACTGGTAAAATTGAAGACTCCTTATCCTTCTCTAATAACGTCTCATTGTTTTCAACTGTAGGCACACTAGTGTCATCAACATTTTCTTGACTGTCCATTGTTAACTGTTAACCTTTAATAAAAATAAGCAAACTCACTATACAATGTATTTACATAAAAAACTAGAATTGAAACATGTGTGTTGAAGTACCCACAACATTTCTATGACACAAGTTTTTAGGAAGATCCATTTATCATTATTTCCAGGTGTGAACATTATATATCTTGAATATCTACATCTGCAATAATTTTATTATCGTTTCTGACCATAACTGGGAGGAGCTTTGTATGAAGTTTAACGAGAATTATGTATTATTTTTCAGCTGTCAGCTGTGTTACATTAAGACATGTAATGGCAGGGAATTTATTTTGGCTTATTTTATAGCCGCTATTCCGTCATATTCCCAGTTGAAAATAGTATATTATTTTCCCAATCAACAGGAAAAAATTGCCAATTGAAAAGTTAAAAATAAAAATATTGAATAACAAATTCTAAAATCTTTGAAAATAAGGGCTTCTTCACTGTTATGGTGTTTAAATATTTGCCGATGCCATCCTAGACAGTTATTTTTTGTAGTCATTTAATCACTTTAAAATTTAAGTCATGCAAATTTTCCCAATTTTTAACAAAACATCGCTGAAATTCCAAATTCCAAAAGGTATGGGTCATGTTCCCAAAATCCTTGAAAAAAAACCCTGAATGGGGTACATGACAATATGTATTAAATTAAATAATGTATATAGCATTTGTAATAAAAGTCACATAAATTGGTTACGGAAAGCAGAACCAGTAATATAGTGATATGATACAATCGGGACACTATTTGAGCATAATATTATTACATGTGATTGTCATGTGCTTACTTATAAGACTAGATATCCAGCAACACATTTTTTTATGGTTTTATATGATGGTCAAATTAAGATTTATCAATTTTGTAAGTTCCAAAAAGCATCATTTATATAGATATTACTGAATTTAACATTTCATGTAAATAAAGGGAGGTAATAAAAAATATTTTCTATAAAGTTTAAGTACAATTGTTTATAAATAAATGAATGCATATATTTAAATGATTAGATCTACGTATAATTTGTACAAATATTTGTAGTACATATTTTACATTTTCTTTGATGTTTGAAAATTGTTTTATAAGCATAATTATACACATATATTTAATTTCACTTTTAAAGTGTGGTATGCAACATATTCAGTCTTCTCTCTTCCCCTCGGTACGTGTACGTCGTTGAGAAGACACAGGGCATCGGCAGAAGATTTGAAGACTGGGGACGGCGAAAAAAGATCGGAACTTGTGCTGCGGACCAGCTGCCGATGTCCTGACTAAAGCCGAGGGGAGTGGCCCTACAAAGTAGGCGCTTGGGTCGACGAGGACGGTGTGCTAGGGTGCGTGAGCCCCTAGCACGGTTAGACGGCTTGAACGGCAGGCCTTTTGCTGGCACCAACAGCCCTTTTCAGGGCTACCCTTTCATATTGTCACAGGTTACTGTACATTTAGGTTCTCATTGACCGCCGTACAAAGACCTACTTTTGGCTCAAAATTCATATCTTTGGCTAATACTCCGTGGAAATTGCATGGAGGTAAATTATCACCACTTTGTGCTTCAAAATTAACTCTTTAAGGGCATGACTGGTGACATGTCCGGGGTCCGTACTCGACAGCGAAAGCTGCATTTTGTGCCCGAAAGGGTGGATGGACCCTCATTCAGCATTAACTACATACATGTACATACGTGTGGTATGCAACCTCAATTACGACATACAGGATCTTTAAACTGATTCAAATAAAATAAGAAACAAACAAATTTCCATTCAGTATCAATTATACATATAACAGAAAACTAGTAAATAAAATTATTAAAATATAAGACAAATATAGGCTGCTTGAATGTAATAGTATAATCTCTATGTTGGACAAGCCTTAATACAATAGTCCCAACAGTCTGACCAATCTAACTGATATTAGATACAGCGAATGGAGACCGTCAAATATTATAAAAATCCCTGGCACATAATTTGTTGGACCAGCAAGTAATACACTAACTTTATCAGTATGGTAGCAAGACACTTCACCCCTCAAATTTTGAAGCCACTTCACCCCTCAAGACACTTCACCCCCCAAAATCAGTATAGGCCCCTAAGCCTTGCCCAGAATTAAAGAGATCACAGAACAAAGTCTTTTTCATAATAGGGATAGAATTGAAGGCAATGAAAAATTAATTGTATTGAAATCGGGATAAGATCAGCGAAACTGATAACAAAGCATTTCAAAGCAAAACTCAAGAAGCCATAACCATAGGTCCAGATTTTCTTGTATCCAACTTTCGATCTTGAACGACAGATACTGTATGTCATTTACACAAAAAAGCACTTTTATCGGGGATATCGATAAAAGGAAAAAGTAGAAAAAAAATATTACACAGCTTTCACACCAAAAACAATCGTTTTTAATTGGATGATTATTGTGCAATTTCATCAGTTGCAACGCACTGGAACTGGACAAAATTCTTCTTTTAGAAGAGTATTTGAGAAATTCAAGGGAAGCAACTGCTACAAAATAGTGGGGACAGGTGAAAATGGTTTTAAGTCATGATATTCCGAGATAGATTTTATACGCTTGTAAAAGAAACATTTCTGCGGAACAACACGTATTTCAAATTTTATAATTTGCAATGATATCAATAATCTCCTAAATTATTTAGTGTTACAATGATTTATCATATAATTTCGCGATCTTACAGGAATCTTTGAAAGTTTGAGTGATATTTTTTAGTAATAACAGGCCCGTTGTTACGATTTTGCCATTTGTGCGGCCAATTTGGTCGGTTTCAGTGGGGTATTGGGGCATGCTCAGTTGTCGTTACAATTATCACAACACAACCTCTAGTTTATTTGGTCTTTATATAGCATAAATTTCTGCAGACTTGAAGTATAACCCTCCACGTTCTGAAGTGCCTTATATCCTGGTTGGCAAAACCCCTCTATTACACAGTTACAAGATCGATTGCTTCAAAGTGCTTAGGCCGGAACATGTCCTGCACTGTAACGGAATTGTAGATAACTCCTATCCTTTGAAAGACATCGCATTTTCTTTTTTTTTACAGTTTTACGTTTATCGGAAAATGCAAAGTCTTCAATTAATTGGCTTATTTCCTACAGCACAAATCAACACGCTTTTCGAGTCGATTTTGAATTTACTGGTAAATCACAACTTAAATGTTATTTATCAGAAAAAGCAAGCTGCAACTGAATAAGTTGATTAAGTTGTTTTTGACTGCGTGCCTGTCTTGACTCATTTATCTGGTTAATTAAAAATTAATGTATGTTTGTATATTACCACATCTTGCATAAGGGGCAAATTAAGTGTCAGTTTGCTAATCAGTGAAACACTTTTTTTTTTGGGGGGGGGGGGGGGGGGGGTTGTTTTTCCACTAAGAGCCAGACATTTTTGGTCAAAATATTTGCCTGACTGTTGATGACGACCTGGTTAAATTAAAGAATGTGTGTGTAGTCAATGTTTAATTAGGGTCCATTCGTCTGTTAAGGCACCAAAAGCCCTGGAAACCGGGACCCTGGAAATGTCACCAGTCAAGTCCTTTAACAGTAAGTTGTCAATCATTTTTCATCATTAGTCTAGATGGTAAGAACTGATAAAAATTCAGTGTGGTTTTTCCATACAAATATGTAGATGTATTGCAAAAAGTTATAAATATTTAATACTTCTTTATTTCAGTGTTTTGCTTTTGCAGACTAGAATGGATCTCTTTGATGACTTACCTGAACCAGGTAATAATTTATTTAGTATGCAATGTTACGTCAGATACATCTGGTAATGTAATGTTGGCTTAATAAGCTCAATAGGGAGAGCACTGGATGAGAAATCCTGGAGTGCTGGTTTAATCCACAAGTGAGTCTTTACTTCTTTATGATTATTGGTCCTTGACATTGTGTCTAATGGTCTTTTGTCTTTCACAGCTGATTTAGAAATCATGTGGGATACTGTGGTAGAAGGTCTGTTGTGAAGGAATTGGTAGTTGCTGGTTAGTTATCCAGGAAAGCCTGTTATGTGGATCTGCATGTACCACAGTAGCCTAGGATTCAGAAGTTGATAGTTTTTGCTTATTTATAACACAGTTTTTATACGCCCTTTTGAAAAACGGGACGTATTATCTGAACGCCCCGGGCGGGCGGGCGGCGTCCAATTTTGTCCGGAGCATATCTCCTACATGTATGGAGGGATTTTAATGAAACTTTATAGAAATGTTCACCACTATGAGGAGCAGTGTCGCGCACATGAACCAGGTCTCTAGGTCAAAGGTCAAGGTCACACTTAAAGCTCATTGAAAAATGCTTGTCCGGAGCAAAACTTCCACATGTATAGAGGGATTTCAATATTACTTTGCACAAATATTCACCATTGTGAGGGGGAGTGTCGCACGCAAGATTCACGTCCTTGCGGCCAAGGTCAAGGTCACACATTGAGGTCAAAGTTCAGATAAAAATATGAAGATGTGAGTATGGACCATTTTGTCATCATTTATTGAGGGATTGTATCACAAATGGTCATTATCAAGACTTTGGCTGTGATACATATAATTTAGGTCAATATATACAAGGTCAAGGTCACTAAAGATGATGAAATATCCCGATTTTGTCCGGAGCATATCTCCTACATGTATGGAGGGATTCTAATGAAACTTCATAGAAATGTTCACCACTAAAAAAAAATGGCACTATGAAGAGCAGTGTTGGGCACATGAACCAGGTCTCTAGGTCAAATGTCAAGGTCACACTTAGAGCTCATTGAAAAATGGTTGTCCGGAGCAAAACTTCCACATGTATAGAGGGATTTCAATATTACTTGCCACAAATGTTCACCATTGTAAGGCGGAGTGTCGCGCGCAAGATTCAGGTCCTTGCAGCCAAGGTCAAGGTCACACATATAGGTCAAAGTTCAGATAAAAATATGAAGATGTGTATATGGACCATTTAGTCATCATTTATTGAGGGATTGTAACACAAATGGTCATTATCAAGACTATGGCTGTGATACATATAATTAATGTCAATATATACAAGGTCAAGGTCACTAAAGATGATGAAATATCGAGATTTTGTCTGGAGCATATCTCCTACACGCATGGAGGGATTTTAATGAAATTTCATAGAAATGTTCACCATTATGAGAAGCCATGTCACGCACATGAACTAGGTCTCTAGGTCAAAGGTCAAGGTCACACTTAGAGCTCATTGAAAAACGCTTGTCCGGAGCAAAACTTCCACATGCATAGAGGGATTTCAATATAACTTGGCACAAATGTTCACCATTGTGAGACGGAGTGTTTCGCATAAAATTCAGGTCCCTGCAGCCAAGGTCAAGGCCACACATAGAGGTCAAAGTTTAGATAAAAATATGAAGATGTGTATAGGGACGATTTAATCATCATTTATTGAGGGATTGTAACACAAATGGTCATTATCATGACTACGGCTATGACACATGTACTTTAGGTCAATATATGCAAGGTCAAGGTCACTAAAGATGGTGAAATATCCAGATTTTGTCTGGAGCATATCTCCTACATGTATGGAAGAATTTTTATAATACTTTATGGAAATGTTCACCACCATGATGTTTATTGCTCCATGCATGATCCAGGTCTCCTGGTCAAAGGTCAAGGTCACACTTAGAGCTCATTGAAAAACGCTTGTCTAGAGCAAAACTTCTACATTCATAGGGGGATTTCAATATAACTTGGAACAAATGTTCACCATTGTGAGGCTGAGTGTCGCACGCAAAATTCAGATCCCTGCGACCAAAGTCAAGGTTACACATAGAAGTCAAAGTTCAAATAAAAATTTGAAGATGTGTATAGGGACCATTTAGTCATCATTTATTGATGGATTGTAGCACAAATGGTAACTATCATGACTACAGGTGTGACACATTTAATTTAGGTTAATATTTGCAAGGTCAAGGTCACTGGAGATGATTAAATATCCAGATGTTGTCCGGAGCATATTTTCTACATGCATGGAGGAATTTTAATGTTAAGTTATAGAATTGTTCACCACCATGAGACGTAGTGCCCTGCACATGAACCAAGTCTCTAGGTCAAAGGTGAAGGTCACAGTTAGAGCTCATAGCAAAACACTTGCCTGGAGCAAAACTTCTACATGCATAGAGGGATTTCAATATAATTTGGCACATCATCATTGTGAGGCTGAGTGCCGTGCATAAAATTCAGGTCCCTGCGACCAAGGTCAAGGTCACACATCCTGTGCATATCTTCCCTACTGATTTGTTTTAAGGTTCATTTAACAACACAGTGCCATGGATAAAAACTTGCTTGCTAGATAACACTTATCCATAATGCCCTCATCTCCATCTAAAGCTTTCGTAAACAGGCGTATTTTGTGACTATGGCACCCTTGTTGCTTATTCATAACATACACGCTATTTCATATTCATTCCTGTTTATGATAGTATCAATAAAAAAAATTGACAGACTGGAACACAGGCTAGTACCACAAAGATATGAACAAATTCAGAAAAAGATAACACCAGAAAAAACAAAACAAACAAGACTGATTTATAATAACATGATTATCATGACATAATTTAAAGTGCACTAGCTTAGTTATCTGTGACTATGAACTATGGAATTTAATTTTGTTTACTCATATTCATATTCATTATTTATGTAACTATGCATTTTCATGTCATATATCTGCTCTCAATTAGGTACAGTGACCAAAATTGAAGAAAGAAAAACAAAAAACATGTCAGTGACTATTTTTTCTGCAACTTTGCAGCATTAACATTTTTAATAGAAAAAGTTAGTTTTCATGGCACATTGTTGGTAAGTTTTTGTGACTTTGCTTCTGTGCCACATGAAACTGACACTTGAGCTCAATGTTCAAACATCTGTTAACTTTGTCAGCTTTTCTTTTAATCCTTAGGAGGTAATAAGTCAGCAAACACAAGTCTCTATGATGAATTACCAACACAGGATAATTCTAGAAAACCGTGGTCTACCAGCAACACGTCCCTCTCCCTGTATGATGACATACCAACACAGTCTACTCCTGAAACAACCCAGTCTGTACCCAATGATGCCCAGTCTGTTACTAAGGCAACACCATCTGTTCCAAATGATGCCCAGTCTATTACCAAGGCAACACAATCATGTGCAGCAGGAAATGGGAAACATAAACTGGAAGAAGAAAGTACCAATGAAGATTTACATAAGAAACAAAAGCTAGGTAGGCTAGCACTGTAAAATGTAGATATTATTTTTGTCAAAGACAAGGTTGTCCCTTAGTTACATTTATGCATTTATGCACTGTTTGTTTAATAAAGAAATTCACTGGCACTGAGAGGAGCTATTAAAGGGACTCCACAGAGGTTTAACCTTTTCCCTTATATAATCGTGTTTAGACGGCTTTTTGCCCCCACACCTTTTTTTGAGGCCTCAAACAGTGAAAAAATGCCCTATTTAGGCCCCAAACACTGTTTTTCGTTTGAGAAATGTTGTTAAAAAAAGTGACCACTTTTTCAGCGCCGTCCCCCATCCAAATGTTACATCTGGGGGTTGCCAGAAGGGGGATGTGCCCCCTTCTGTTTGGGGAGGGGGGGTTTGAAGGGGGGAGCGGAGTCCCCCCTCATCGCCAAGAAAATTTTGGACATGGGACAGGCTAAAAATGGCCTCAGGTCGATCTTAGGGTAACTAGTAACCGACGCTGAAAAGCCTTTTACTCTATCTCAATTCATTGAAAAGTTGCAGCACTTTGAAATCAGTTTTGATGGAAAAAACAATGCAAAATAGTGATTTTTGGCAATTTTGAGACGTCCCCTCGTTGCCATGGTAACAGGAAATTTACGATTGAGCATGCTGTTACAGAGGCTATGGTCTAGTCAACATTTGTGCCAAGTTTCATCAGCATTGAAGCAGTTTTCATAGTTTCATAGCAGTTTGAACTTGTTACAGGAGGCTTTTCAATGAAAATGGCCATTTTTCGCAATATGCTTGACATGGGGTAAAAGGTTAATTAAAGAAATAAAAAATGTCAAAAAACAACAATTTTTCACCAAAATTAGGTGTTATGGCACGTGTTAACATGGAAAAACTAGTTTTTGGGTAATTCCAAGGTTTTTCATCATTTTTTGTTAAAAGCCTAAAAACATAACATTTGAATTTCTTATATAAATGAGCTGGGGCACTTTATACAAAAATATATGCAAAGATAGTTAAGAAAAATACTTTGAAATTGATAGAAAATCATATTTTTATGCTTTTCGTAGCCCAATTCAAGTGAAAAGCTTTTAAATGCTTTAAATTTTGGGTCTTTTTTTTACAATTTGAACAATTATTCTGGAAAATTGAATTGCGCAAATGATTTGAAATGTTGCACAAATATTAGTGGCCTAAACCTACATCAAATGGTACATTTATCTTGCCAAAATATTTTTAGTCCCATCATGTCAAAAAACCTCAGTGGAGTAACTTTTAGAAAGCATATTTCGTATGTACCTTACATTGTTTTTGGGTCTGTAGTGGATCCCTATGCACATAGCCATAAAGTATATCATTTTCGCAACTATTCATTGAAAACTCAAAACAGTCAACTTGTAGTTACTGACAAAAGTAAGAACAGGAGAAACATGAAGTATGAAGTGCTGGACTATTTTTCATGTTGTTTCACATCTTAGCTGTGTATTTCGTAGCATTTGGAAATGAGAACCAAATCTATCGAAGGTGTGGTCTCTTTGCAAAAAATTTGTATTCATCCGTCACAAAAATAACTAAAAGAAGTTAAGTATATTGAAACTCTTTTTGTCTAAAATTAAATAGGTATATAATAAAAGGATAATTTTGATGTACATGTAGTAGCTTTCTGAGGCCATGTATTTTGCTACTCGCAGTGTAGTACTCGCATGCTGCTCATAGCAAAATACAAAGCCTTTGAAAGTTACTACAACTTATTTTGATTTATTGTTCAGAATATTGTTTACTTAATCTGACCCATGTTACCACCATCTTGTGTCTTGTTTATGTAGGAGTAGTGTATGAAATAGACAGCTATATTGTGGAGAGGCAAGGAGAGAGAGAGGATATGCAAGACGCCCATCTTATCATGCAAGATTTTACATCAGAAATACCTAATCTACATTCTTCTATGTAAGTTTTGGCTTGTTATAAACCAAATTTATATACTATAAAAAACAAATTTTTACATAATGTTTTATATACCAGATCTACAGTCTAATATAAGAGCAGGGATGTTATAATAATGATGTTTTCCAAAGGATTTTACACAAAATATGCCAGATCCATCCCACCTCCTCATTTAAAGTACAGGGTATTACAGTGTTTATGCCAAAGTTACAGCCAGTGTAATTACATGGTTATTATTATGATTTTTTTTTTGTACCAAATATATGTCTTGTAAGTTCACAGCTAAATCCATCACTGAAATAAGGTGCTCTGAAATAAGGTGATCTTAAATCATATATACCAAATACTTATAGATCCTCTCTTTAGAAAACTTTTTTTTTTAAAAGTAAATAAGAAAATAATTATAGTATAAAATTTAAAAAAAAAAGAAAAAAAAAAAAAAGAAGAAGAATAACTTCATTTTGCCAGATTGAGATATGTATTTTTTTTCTTTTTAATCCATATTGTTACTAAGAGAAGTATAGTACCTATTACCATTTTTAAAGGTTGTGTCACATTACTGTGTACAAATTTTCTGTGAAATTACTAGTTGTTTTATTCCTCTTATGATTTACAGTTACAGAGTGTCCATGTATGGCGTGTTTGACGGACATGGAGGAGTCAGAGCTTCGAGGTTTGCATCAGAGAATTTGCATAAAAATCTCCGAGATAAATTTCCTAAGGGTAATCCTTCAGCAATGAGATATTTTCATAATATCTTTTGTACTTTAAACATACACAATGCGTCCCCTTAGTGTAGTAATGAAATAATAAAGTCCTTCTAAATTTAATAGGAGTTAATCAGCTATTGCACAAATGTAACGAATTATGGCATTGTTCTACAGTAAATTTAAACTTAAAATTTTGAGCCGCGTCACGACAAAACCAACATTATGGGTTTGCGACCAGCATGGATCCAGACCAGCCTGCGCATCCGTGCAGTCTGATCAGGATCCATGCTGTTCGCTATCAGTTTCTCTACTTGTAATAGGGTTGGTAAGCGAACAGCATGGATCCTGATCAGACTGCGCAGATGCGCAGGCTGGTCTGGATCCATGCTGGCCGCAAACCCACTATGTTGGTTTTGTCGTGACGCGGCTCAAATGTACATTTTGTATGTGGTTGTTTAATATGTCCATTATCATTTTAGGGATATCAAGATGAAAATTTAAATGTAAGTTATCTAAGTTCAGTTTTTATACAGGTGGTGAAGACTAATCACTAACAGTTACAGTAAGGATACAGTTAATAAATAAAATGAATCATGCCCCTGAAACAAACAGTTATTGAAGTGGAATTGATTTATTTATTTTTGGAATTTTTTTTCTTGTTTACTCTAATAAATGATTATTTTTTATTACATTTGACAGGTGATATAACAGTAGTGGAGAAAGAGATAAGGAAAGCTTTTATTGATGCGTTCAAAAAGACAGATGAGGATTTCCTGAAACAAGCAACAAAATCGTAAGTGAATTGAATACTCAATTCATGCCGTGCAAATTCGGAAATAGTATCAGTTTCAGTGGTGCTTTTTGGCTATTTAACACCGGTTTAGAGTTCCGAAATTATCTGCATATACATGTAGTCTCTAACCAGTGTTTATTGGCAGTTTAACACCGTTTTTAGCTCGACTTTTCTATGAAAAGGGGAGCTATCCTACTCGCCCCGGCGTCGGCGTTGGCGTCACACCTTGGTTAAGTTTTTCGTACCACCCCACTTTATTTCAGAAGTATTACAAGTATGGCTTTGAAACTTACCATACTTGTTCACCATCATAACCTCCATCTACAGACAAGAGTACATAACTCTGTCAAGGTTTTTGACAGAATTATGGCCCTTTTTTGACTTAGAAAGTGTATTGAGCTTGGTTAAGTTTTTTGTACCACCTCACTTTATTTCAAAACCATTGGAGGTATTGCTTTGAAACTGACCATACTTGTTTACCATCACGACCTTCATCAACAGACAAGAGGACATAACTCTGTCAAGGTTTTTGACAGAATTATGCCCCTTTTTGACTTAGAAAATACATTGAATATGGGTAAAATCCACTTATTGCCTTAACCCTTTGAGATATTGCTTTGAAACTTTTAATGCTATTTCACATCATTACCCCCATCTGTACGCAAGAGAAGGTAACTCTGTCAAGGATTTGTTTTAAAAATTAAGGCCTTTTTATCGACTTAGAATCTTGGTTAACTTTTTTGTACCAGTCAACTTTTTGACTGAACTGGTTGAGATATTAAATTGAAAGTTGGAATACTTGTTTACCATCATGGTCCCAAAACATGGGCAGGAGAAGGTAATTCTGTTAAGGATTTTATTTGAATTATGGCCCTTTTTGACTTAGAAACTCAGTTAAAATTTTCATTCTTGTCCACTTGTTGACTTAACCATTTGAGATATTACTTTGGAAGTTGGAGTTCTTATGTGCCATCATGAGACCTATCTGTAAGCAAGAGAAGATAACTCTGTGAAAATGTTTCTTGATTTGTACTTAGAAATTCCTAGTTAAAGTCTTGTGTGCCCTTAACTGTCAAAGTTTTGTTTTATAGGCAAGCACTAAAAAAGTCGAGCGCGCTGTCCTTCTGACAGCTCTTGTTTTAAGGATGGCCTTAGAGTTTCTTCGTTTCTGCAAAAGAACCCTTCTAATAAACAAGCTTTAGTTCATAAAAATGTACATAATTCGTAACTTTGTTTAAGTTTTGCATATAGGTGTCCTTTTGGGCATATAAGAGACCTATGTTGTGAAATTTACAATTCCTTATTGTGCCCTTTAGGGGCATCTTACCTGAAAGCCAAACATTCATTTTGTTAACCTCAGGCAACAGATATATAGCTTGATACACTAATAATTTTTTGAGTTTTAGAAACATTTGGTACTAATGTACAAAATTCTACATATGCAAGCTTTTATATTACTATAGATATTTAAAAGGCAATATAATGAAGCAAATGTTATAACTCAACTTGTGCTAAATTGACATCAATGTTATAAATTTTAATGTCATGAAAAAGGATATTGTTGATTACTTATCATATGATATGGATCCCCATGTATCCAATAGCTGAGGATAATAATGAAATATTAGTGTGAAAAAAAAGTGTTATCATAAGACAATTTACAAATATAGATCTATATAGAAGGATCTGTTGTATATTTGTTAAAATCAGGAATGTTATGGATTATTTAAGAATTAAATATATTTATTGAAATTTTAGTAATAAATGATATTTGTGATTACAGGAAGCCAGTATGGAAGGATGGTACCACAGCTATATTGGTTCTCCTCATTAATGAAACCATGTATATTGCCAACATTGGTGACAGCCAGGTACCATTAACCATTACCAACCTAAATATCTTTTATAGACTTTTCCATCTTTTAATCTCAACAACACCATACATTTATATAAGGGAAAATTTAATTTTGGTCTGCACTAGTCATGTAAAGGGGGCATCCGTGGCCGAGTGGTTAAGGTTGTTGAGTTCAAACCACTTGCCCCTCATCGCTGTTGGTTCGAATCCCGGCAGGGACTTTGGAGTCTTTCATGTGAGGAAGCTATCCAGCTAGCTTTGCTGGTTCTACTCAGGTGCCAGTTTGTGCCTGAAAAATGCACTGAGGGGCACCTGAGGTCTTCCTCCACTAGTAAAGCTGGAACGTCGCCAAATGACCTTTACTGTGTTGATGGGAAGTAAAACCCAAATCAAACATTCAAAACACTAGTCATGTGGGTAAATCTGTTGCTGACAGTTGTCGAAATGTTCATTAACATTTTTTTTTTCATATTCCTGATAATTTTTTCAGAGAAGCAAATATCTTTATTTCTTTCCTTCAATCACAATTGCTGATTCATAAAAAACTGTTCATTTACTGACTTGATATTTTTGATGTTTTTGTATTTGTACCTATTTTGGATCTCTGGTATCAAGTCAGTGATTCTTAAAATAGAGGAATCCATGGCTGAATGGTTACGGTTGTTGACTTCACTTGCCCCTCACCAGTGTGGGTTAAAATTCCTGCGTGGGACTTTGTCTTCTTTCTTTAGAGAATGCTATCTAAAAAGCTTACAGTGGGGGTTCTACTCTGGTGCCCATTTGTGCTTAAAATAATGCATGGAGGGGTACATAATCTTCCTATATGAGTAAAGCTGGAAAGTCACCATATGACCTTTACTGTGTTGGTGCAAGGTAAAACATGATCCCACTAAAAAGAAACTTTTAAATAGATTTTCATTTTTTTCTAATAGTATGTTTTTTTAAATACTTTGTCACTTTGTGGACCATTCTTAGCTTTTATAGGTATTCTCCTAAATAATAAAGGAAATTCTTGATATAATCTAACATATGAATTTTCATAATTATAGCATATTAAAAAAATGTAATGTTTAACAGTTTTACTTATCTTGATTGAAAGCACCTGTTTTGGTCAGGTATATAACACCTCTATTAAACTTTGCAGTTCAAGCCATTTATTGATACATTAATATAAGGGAAAATTTAATTTTGGTCTGCGCTGGTCATGTGGGTAAAACCTGTTGCTGACAACAGTCGAAATGTTCAATAACATTTATTTTTTCATATTCCTGATAATTTTTTCAGTGAAGCAAATACATGTATCTTTATTTCTTTCCTTCAATCACAATTGCTGATTCATAAAAAACTGTTCATTTACTGACTTGATATTTTGGATGTTTTTGTATTTATACCTTTTATGACCTCTGGTATCAAGTCAGTGATTATTAAGGGCATCTATGGCTGAATGGTTAAGGTCCACTTGCCTCTCACCACTGGGTTCAAATCCCTGCCTGGGACTTTGGGTTCTTTCTTGTGAGGAAGAAGCCCGCATAATATGATTTTATTCAACTTGTTCAATAAATTTAGTATTAAACCTACACTTATTCAATATCCTGTATATGAATAACACTGATATACTAATGACTTTTGTATTATGAAGTGTCTTCTGTAAACAGTAGATAATATTGTGATGTAATTTCAGGCAGTGTTATGTCGTTATAAAGAAGACACTAAGACATGTGTTCCTGTACCTCTCAGTATTCCCCACAATCCCTCCCTGTACGATGAGAGAATGAGAATACAAAAACAAGGGGGTCATGTCAAGTAAGGCATTGTTTTTTTTTATTTCATTTTTTTTTCATAGATTTTTAGTTGCCTGTACTGAAGAAAAGAATGGAGCTGTTTTGATTGCTGCTTCATCATTGTTGTCATTCAAAAACAATAATGTGGCCAATTATTCAAATATTTTGGTGAGTATCAACATGAAATTTGGAATACTTGTTTATATTATCATTGAAAGACAAGGGGCATTAATCTAGCAATGTTAAGAGTTTTGTCCCTTTTAAACAAGATTTTTTTGTATCAAAATTATTATCATTGCCTTTAAAGATATATTATGCTCAAGTTTGATATTTGAAAATGTTGATAATTGCTACACAGCTTCTTTATAAATATAAAATAAATACGTTTTGACTTCACACAAAGTAAATATGTTTTGTTCACTATAGGTGGTCACAATATGAATACACATGTATAGTGTTATTAAAAAAACTGGCATTTTTTTTAAGAGAGGAAAACTTTACTTGACCTGTAACAGGGAATGCAGCTTCCAATACATAGTTTATTTGTTGTATTATTTGAATTAGATATAATGGGAATTCACTTATATTTGTGGGCATGAACTTTCGTGGTTTTATCAAAACGGGCATTTTCGAGGGTTCTTAAATTCGTGGATTTTCAATTTCTTGTAAAAAAATAAAATAAATAACCTAATGCAAAGTAATCTTACACTTAATCGCCGTGCATTTTATTACGGCATGTACATATCTTTACGTATCACACAGCGCTCATCAATAAATTTAATCCTTGCCTCTTGGCGTTCATGACACAAAAATCAGCGGAAAAGTGTTGATGCATGTTTGTGATATAAAGAATAGAGACATGGCAAGAAGTATTTGTTGGGATAAAATTTCGTCGGATCTTAAATTTGTGGATTGACCTACCCATGAAAACCAGGAAAATTCATGCCCCACCCCACGAATAATGATGATTTTACAGTATTCAGTAAGAATTTCATAGATTTCAATTAACTTCTGTGATTAAGATATTTTACTCAAGCATGAGCATACTATATCTTTATTAACAGACAAGTGTTAACACCATATTGGTTATCTTGTTTAGGAAAGTATCTAGAATGCTATGTGCTTAAAGTTTGTATTTTTTAAGAGAAAAAGAATGTTTGACAATCCTTACACCTGTACATTTGTCATGATTTATCTGGTGTCAAACTTTTCTTATTTTCATTAAACTTTTAACAGAGATATAAGGGTGAATTTTGCTAGTTAGTCTTGTTTTTTCATTCGTTTGAAATTTTTCCTTTAACAAAAGTTTGATCATGGATGATATCTTTGTAGTTAGATACTTTCTCTTCCAATAAGACTGTGTGTTCAGTAAGTCATAGAAATATACGTAATATGATTGGACTAAGAAATATATTTCTTGTATAAAAAGTGTTATATTGTTTAACTTTTCATTCATTGTACTATGTGTTATCTGGTTATTACAGGGATGGTCGTGTAATGGGTGTACTGGAAGTATCTAGGTCAATAGGGGATGGTCAGTATAAAAAACTAGGTGTTACCTGTACACCTGATGTGAAGAAATGCTCTATAACTGACAATGATAGGTATAAAACACATTGTGATCATAGTTTACTATTTTCGATATGTGCTCAGATTTTAACAGTGTCAAGTTTTTTATTGGTAATTTATTTTAGTTTGATTGTATTGGAAGCTATAAGCACATTGAAACACACTCGAATTCGTTCCTGGTACCAACCAGTACTAAGCAATGAGTGTAAAATATCTTGCTCACGGAAACAACAGCTTGCCCCTGTCGTGGTTTGAACCCAATCAGCCAGCAATCTTTAGGTTATGCATTTACCACTCTGCCATGTCACCACCATTTTAGCTAGACTATAAAGAGAATTGGGAGAGGCTGAGAGCTATTGTACTCACCCTGGTGTTAGCATCATCATTACACTTTGGTTAAGTTTTTGCTTGCAAGTTGGTATCTCCAAAACTACTTTGGTTTAAATTTTACACACTTGTTCTTACAAGATGGGCACAGCTCATGTAATTTTAAGTTACCTTTTTCACAAAGGTATACACCTTTTCTTACTAGAGTTGAGCGTGTTGTTCTAACTCTTATTCTTAACAGTTGGAATGGTTAGACAAATCTTTTTATTGCTAAACATGTATAAAAATAAGGTTAAAAACTGCTGTTAATGCAAGGAATATACTGCGGAACAAATAACCTTAGACTCAATCTCACACATAACACATTTATTTTGATTCTCATACCTAATTTTCTATTCTGTCTCCTGTTTAATGTATGTAATAACTATTACCAGTGCTGAAAAGATAGAGTTGAAAGACATTTAATTCCAGCCCTGGGTATGGAAAAGGTGTTTTTCTATGACAATATGGTTGACATCAAATACTTGTCAAGCTTTAAGTCCCACGCTGCTATTTCAAATGATTTATGTTGAGTATTTGACAGCAACTTTAGGAAAAACTGGTAAGTACTGTCACAGATTCTAAGTATAGATAGTACTTGCAGTCACCAGTTTCTGACTCATATATTGTTACAACTGATGCCAAACTCTGTAAAAGAGATGGAAAAAGACAACAAATTTGTACAAGTTATGCCTTCTGTTCATTGAAACAGATTTGATTATTGAATTACATTTATATAGATTTAATTCGAATTAAATACTGCCAATTGGTATGTTTATTATTTAATATATTCTCAACAGATATGTGATAATAGCTTGTGATGGACTGTGGAAATGTTTTGAACCAGCTGACAGCATTAATTTTACAAATAAAATATTACAAGTAAGTATTACGTAGTTAATTTTTATTTACGACTTCCCCTTTGGCTGAGAGCTTGGCAGCCTTTAAGGGTTGAGGCATTAGAATTGCAGCCACTGTTTATCCCTGTGTGACTGTAAGAGGCGACTTATTTGATAGGGATTCAAAGTGCATAAAGCTATATGCCTATTGTTTTACAAAATTAATGTTTGAATTTTGAAAAAGAATACTTCAAAAATACCTGTATGGAAGAAATATGCCTGTATATACCCTTAAGAGCGGAAGTTGCTTGTACAAATAAGCCATTTTAAGAAGATAGAATAATATTTTGTCCCCTGACATTTTATTCTGTTTACATACAATATTCATATTTGTTAAATATCAGACATAATCTATGTCTTTTTTGCAGAATCAGCCATCAGCATAATTTAAATGTTTTATTTTATAAAATATTCCTTTAGATATTTCTTTAGATATAGTTTTATACCCTTATATGTAGGGGTGTGGATCGTCGGATGAGTGATGATCTGATCCTAACCACGATTCAGCACTTCGATTCACAAATCAAACAACAAATCTTTTGTTATCAAGACACCCATAAAAACATGTACATGTATTAGTTATAAGAACATGTTGATTAAAAACAAAAAACGATACTAAACATTATCCATATAAAATATAAACTAGGTTTATGTTTTTATTCTTTGGAAGAGTATTTTTGTTTTGTTTTATGAAATCAATTACTTCCTAGCTCAGCAATATGGTACGGCACTTTGTATTTAGGTAAACTTCCCATAATTTATACTCAAATCGTATTTTTCTTGATTTTAAGAGTGTTAGAAACAGTGAATGTATATAAAAAAAATTAGATCGCGATACACAATCTTAGGGCTTACGAATATTCAAACTCGATTTTTCACTTTGATTCGTGATTATTCGAGTACTCTGATACTCGCCCCAGCCCTACTTATATGTATGTTGCCTGTAAGGGAGGTCTTGTTATCTGAAGCAGTTAAAAAGCAATATTATAACATTATGTTCTTGTTCTTTGAAGTTTGATTGCTGAATATAGAGATTTTGGACATCAGATATTTGCTGATTCAAATGTTATATAACATTATAATGAGATCCTTGTACTTTCCTGTACTTGTTTGGGTCATTAATTTGTTAGTCATGGATAGATTTTAAAATAATTTTGCCAAAATGTGTAGCACATTTAGACATTTGTGACACCTACAGTCACCAGGTTTTAAAGCAAACTCCACGGCCAAAAATGAATTTCTTACATAGATCAGCTGAGGCATTTAAAACTGAAAGATATGCAAGGTTAATTTAGAAATATACCCAGACAAAAATTAAAAATCTTTAATATAATAAATATATATAATTGGGATTCTTAGCCTGATTTGAGTGAAAACTGTTTGCAAAGTTTTTCAGTTTTGGATCATTTTTAGCTCGACTATTCGATAAGAATAAGTAGAGCTATTGCAGTCACCCGAGCGTCGGCGTCGGCGTAACCACTTATGTTAAAGTTTTTGTAATAGTTCAAATATTTTCAAAGTCCATAGAGATATGGCTTTGAAACTTTGCACACTTGTTCACCATCATGACCCCAACCTGTAGACAGGATGAGGTAACTCTATCAAGCATTTTGACAGAATTATGCCCCTTTTTAGCTCGACTTTTTTTTTTTTTGAAAAAAAAAGTAGAGGTATTGTTATAGTCAGGTCGGCGTTGCCGTTGCCGTTGCCATTGCCGTTGCCGTTGCCGTCCGAAAATTTGTACCTGGATCATAACTTTTTAATTTCTTGGTGTATTGTCTTCATACTTGGCCACAACAACCCTTGGGACAAGACCTTTCAGTAGACCACACTAACCTTGACCTTCATCCATAAATGACCTTGACCTTCAAGGTTAAAAGTCCAATTTTTGCTTGTTCATGCTGTTATTGGCTGTTTCTTTGTTATTTTTGAATGGATTGTCTTCAAACTTGAACATAATAATCTTCAAGGATATCCCTTAAAAATAACCAGTCAGACCTTGACCTTCACTCATCAATGACCTTGACTTTGAAGGTCAGATTATTGAAATTTTCATTTTTTTGGCTATAATTGGCTGTAACTTTGTTATTTTTAAATGGATTGTTTTCAAACTTGGACATAATAATCTTCAAAGATAACTGTTAAAAATATACCGAAAGACCTTGACCTTCACTCATTAATGACATTGTCTTTGAAGGTCAAATTATTGAAATTTTCATTGTTTGGCAGTAGCTGACTGTAACTTTGCTATTTATATAAATGTGTGTGTGTGTATATATATATATATATATATATATATATATATATATATATATATATATATATATATTATATATATATATATATATATATATATCAAATATATATATATACATATATATACATGTATATATATATATATATATATATTTTTTTTTTTTTGAATATATATATATATATATATATATATATGTATATTTTTTTTTTTTTTTTTTTTTTTTTTTTGAATATATATATGCATTTATATATATAGATATATATTCTATATATATATAGATATAGATATATATATATATACATGCATATATATATATATGCATGTATATATAAATACACACACACATATATATAAATTGCGTCATTTTTTCTATTTTTAGAAATTGCGTCATTTTTTCTATTTTTAGAAATTGCGTCATTTTTTTCTATTTTTAGAAATTGCGTCATTTTTTCTGTTTTTAGAAATTGCGTCATTTTTTTCTTTTTTTAGAAATTGCGTCATTTTTTTCTATTTTTAGAAATTGCGTCATTGTTGCTATTTTTAGAAATTGCGTCATTTTTTCTGTTTTTAGAAATTGTCATTTTTTTCTATTTTTAGAAATTGCGTCATTTTTTCTATTTTTAGAAATTGTGTCATTTTTTTCTATTTTTAGAAATTGCGTCATTGTTGCTATTTTTAGAAATTGCGTCATTTTTTTCCATTTTTAGAAATTGCGTCATGTTGCTATTTTAAGAAATTGCGTACTGTTGCTATTTTTAGAAATATGCTTAATGTTTCTATTCATATACAGTAAAAACCCGCTTTACGACCACCCCGTTTTCGAGACCAACCCGCTAATACAAACGATTTTTCAAAGACCCGATTTTTTTATTCTTTATTTTAATGGTCGCTAACCCCGATTTTGAGACCACCCCGTTATTCCGTAATACGACCAGTAAATTTAGTCCCATTTCGTAAATTCTGTACATTTGGAAACCCATAAATACGACCGCGGGCACTTTCTCACCTTGATATTGACATGCATATATATTGCTGAAATCTTTTTGACACGTAGTGTAAACAACAGTTGTCCTAGTTGTACGACATTTAACGACATCCAATTTACGGCAGAGGTCAAGGTTACTTTGTATCAAACCCGGAAATGATCAATAATATTGTCGATAATTTCTTAATTTTTCACACCTTTAATGTCATAACTGGAGGATTAAAACAACAAAATATTGAACAGAAAACTTTCAATAAGTTTTTTAGAGGTGTTGCTGCTATCATTATCTCTTTCGTTCCATAATTTTAAACAAACATAAACATGATACGATTAGGTTTTTAAAGTTTTTATCGGCGATGAAAACTGTGAAAATAATTAAAGGTTACTTGGTCGATGTGCTTTGTAGTAAAATGGTGATTTAATTGAGTAAGTCATGTCATTCTTTTAACAAGAATGTAAAAATATCTTTGTGTTTAAAGACATTCATAATACATTTTGTACCTCTAAAGAAGTTTAAAAAATTTATATGTTAAAAAGTAAAAGAAAATAAATGAAAATAAAAAAATAATAGTGTATGTTTAATATCTTCTCATTTGAAAAAGGTTAGCCCAGAATTAAACATGTGTACAGTACATGGTATCCCTTAATATATTGCCTGGTTTTCTGTTTGACCAAACTCATTAATGAGACCACCCCGCTATTAAGACCAGATTTGTAAAGTCCCTTCATTGGTCTCATTAGCGGGTTTTTACTGTATATACAAAATATATAAACAAAACTAATGTGACAAGACAGACCAACTAAATTTATAAAAAGGAAACGTCAATATATGTTCAAACCTTTCTATGTTTGCGTTTAGAAAAAGTAAAAAGTCGAGCGTTGCCCCCGCCCGGCGGTGGCTCTTGTTTGACTTAGAATTTACGTTAAAGTTTTTGTAATAGTTCAAATATTTTCAAAGTCCATTGACATATGGCTTTGAAACTTTACACACTTGTTCAACATCATGACCCCAACCTGTAAACAGGAGGAGGTAACTCTATCAAGCATTTTGACAGAATTATGCCCCTTATTCGACTTAGAATTTACGTTAAAGTTTTTGTAACAGTTCAAATATTTTCAAAGTCCATTGACATATGGCTTTGAAACTTTACACACTTGTTCACCATCATGACCCCAACCTGGAAACAGGAGGAGGTAACTCTATCAAGCATTTTGACAGAATTATGCCCCTTTTTTGACTTAGAATTTACATTAAAGTTTTTGTAATAGTTCAAATATTTTCAAAGTCCAGTGACATATGGCTTTGAAACTTTGCACACTTGTTCACCATCATGACCCCAACCTGTAAACAGGAGGAGGTAACTCTATCAAGCATTTTGACAGAATTATGCCCCTTTTTCGACTTAGAATTTACGTTAAAGTTTTTGTAATAGTTCAAATATTTTCAAAGTCCATTGACATATGGCTTTGAAACTTTGCACACTTGTTCACCATCATGACCCCAACCTGTAAACAGGAGGAGGTAACTCTATCAAGCATTTTTTTTACTATCAAGCACTAAGAATAGTCGAGCGTTGCTGTCCTACCGACAGCTCTTGTTCACAATTAAAATAATTATTCTGGAAAGATGGAGTGAGGGAATAGTATGAAATTTTGCACATTTCTTCTTTGTCTAGTACTACATCAAATGGAACATTAATCTTGGAAAATTATCACCTGTCCAGTCATGTCAAAAACTCCTCGTGGAGTCCCTTTAATGTCAAAGTTCAAGGTCAAACTAAGAAATAATTATATACATCTTCTAGAGAATGTTTTTATGGTAATCATTGTTAACTTTTTTTTTCAGAATGATGGCTCTAGTTCTAAAGAAACAGAAGAAAATAAAACAAGAAATAATAGATATGAGACTGCATGCAATAAACTAGCTAATGAGGCAGTGTTACGGTTCAGTGGAGATAATGTGACAGTGTTATTATTGGCAATAAGGAAATGTAGATGAGACTTTGACAGTTATACCTGTTGCTGAAATGTTATGGTAATCCCCTGCATTATACACAAACAGTTATTCCAGGAGATTGCCATCACTTGTTTAAGTGTTTATTATATTCTATAAACATACATGGTTATGATGGTAACTTTTAATTAAGTTATCTTTTGTACAGAAAAGTGTACTAATGTAGCAATAAGTGGGTATGAAGTGTATAATAACATGTAGTTGTATCCTAGTTTGGAGACCTTTCTATTGAAAATGTGGCGGAGTTAAATCCTATACCCATAAATTGTATCATAGTTTGCAGACCTTTCTATTGAAAATGTGTCGGAGGTAAATCGTATACCCATAAATTGTATCATAGTTTGGAGAACTTTCTATTGAAAATATGTCAGAGTTAAATTGTATACCCATACATGCTCAGTGTGGTAACTGGAGTGCAGGTATAAGTTACGTGCACTCCAACTACCGCACTTCCTCCTGAGGATAAACATAGAGCATGCTCGATGATTGGCTACATTTTTTTCTGGGGTTTACTTTTTGTGACAACAGGGAAAGAGATAATGATAAAAAATCATATTCAGATGCTCATACATTGTTTTATTTATTCTTATTTTATATTGTGAAGACAGGGACTGTGTTTTTATTTTTGCCTATGCTGGGACCAAAAATATAGTTTTGGTCCCAGGCCTATGATACAAAAGAGAAAGTGCACCAAAAAAAGTCTGATTTATTCTTGCAGCTATTAAATTGGAAACTAAAGCGAATATTCAGTGATACACATGTCAAATTGGATATAGAATGATAATTAAAGCTTGTAATTAAATTTTAACAAGTTGAGAAAATATGAAAATTATGTTTGGATTTCCTTTTTATAAGCTTGTTAAATTTTGCATGTTATGTTTTGCACCTGGCAATAAGTCTGTCTGTCTGTTAACAATTTCGTGTCCATTCTTTATTTTTGTAACAATTGAAGAATATTATAATAATCAATCTAGAAGGTTTTAAGCTGTCTAAGGATTTGATACAATCATCTATCTTAAAGTAGTAAATTTTTAGCTCGACTATTCACAGAATAGCTAATGCAGTCACCCATTTGTCGGCGTCGGCGTCCCTGATGTTAAATTTTTATTTTTATGCCCCCCATCAAAGAAGTGGGGGTACATTACTTTGCATTTGTCTGTCGGTAAGTCCGTCTGTCGCTCCGTAGACCAAATGGTTTTCGAGTGATAACTAAAGAACGCTTAGGCCTAGGAAATTCAATTTTGGTATGATGATTGTACATGACCAGTAGATGACCCCTATTGATTTTGGGGTGAAAGGTCAAGGTCACATTGACCTTGTAGGTAAAAACGGTTTCCGTGTGATAACTGAAGAACACTTAGGCCTAGGAACTTCAAACTTGGTATGATGGTTGTTCATGACCAGCAGATGATCCCTTTTGATTTTGGGGTCAAGGGGTCAAAGGTCAAGTTCACATTGACCTTGTAGGTAAAAACAGTTTCTGATAAATAATTGAAGAACGCATAGGCCTATGTACTTCAAACGTGGTTTGATGATTGTTCATGACCAGCAGATGACCCCTGTTGATTTTTGGGTCAAGGGGACAATTTTCGAGGGGTTTAAGGTCAAAGTAACATTTACCTTGCAGGTAGAAACGGTTTCTAATCAATACCTAAAGAACGCTTAGGCCTAGGAAGGTTAATCTTGGTTTGATGATTGTTTATGACCAGCAGATGACCCCTATTGATTTTTGGGGTCAAAGGTCAAGGTCACATTTACCTTGTAGGTAAAAACGGTTTCCGATCAATAATTAAAGAATGCTTAGGCCTAGCAACTTCAAACTTGGTATTATGATTGTTCATGACCAGCAGATGACCCCTATTGATTTTGTGGTCAAGAGTTCAAAGGTCAAGGTTACATTGACCTTGTAGATGAAAACGATATCCAATCAATAACAAAAGAACGCTTAGGCCTAGGAACTTCAAACTTGGTATGATGATTGTTCATGACCAGCTGAAGACCCTATTGATTTCGGGGTCAAGGGGTCAAATGTCAAGGTCACATTGACCTTGTAGGTAAACCAGTTTCCTATCAATAACTTTACAACCCATGGGCTGTTGGTCCTCAAACTTGGTAGGTGCATTGACAAGTAGATGACCTCTATTGATTTTGGGGTCAAGGGGTCAAAGATCAAGGTTGCATTGACCTTGTAGTAAAAAAGGTTTGCTATCAATGACTTGACAAGCTATGGGCTTTTGGCCCTCAAATTTTGAAGGTGCATTAATCTTGGCCAGTAGGGGTCTGGGGAACAAAGGTCAAGGTTGCATTGACCTTGTATTTCAAGATGGTTTTCTATCAATAACTGGACAACCCATGGACTCTTGACCTTCAAGCTTTACAGATACATTGCTTTGGTCAGAAGATGACCTCAATGGATTTTTTGGCGTTAAAGGGACTCCACTGATGTTTTTTGACATGACGGGACTGGAAATAATTTTTTGAGTTTATTACTCCATTTGATGTAGATCTATACTAATAACTTATGTGCAAAATTTTAGATCATTAGCTTGCTCTGTTTTTCCAGAATAATTATTATAATAGTGAAAAATGACCCAAAATTGAAAAGCGTTTAAACGCTTTTCACTCAAATCGGACTGAGAATACTAGTAACACAAACATATGACTTTCAATGTATTTCTTTTGTATTTCTTAGTTATATTTTATTAATATTTCTGTTTAAAGTGCTCATATTTATCTATGTGAAAAAAAATGTTATGTTTTAGGCTTTTAAACCTCAGTGGAGTTCCTTTAAGGGATCAGAGGTCAAGCTCACATTGACCTTTCTGATCAATATCCAAACTCATGTGCCCTTTACCTTCAAACTTTACAAGTGCATTGGTCTTGGCCAGTAGATAACCCCTATTGATTTAGGGTCAAAGGTCAAAGTTATATTGACCTTGTATTAAAGACTGTTTCTGACCAATAACTCAACAACTCGAGTTGCATTGGTTGGTATTTTTTATTAAACTTAAAATCTTTTTGGTATACACACACAACAAGCCTTAGTACCTTTTAGGACAATTTTATGTATTCATATAGATAAGCATTATTATACTCAATAAAACATCCTTGTGACAACTTTTTGGAATAGTGGAGCATTGCTGTCCTCCGACAGCTCTAGTTATTTGTTTATGTCTTCAGAGCCATGCAAATATTTCTATAACTACTGTAATTTGGAACACTATGTTTTGGTCACTGTCAAAATCTGGCAATAGTTTGTCTATACAACTTATCGTGCGCATTAATTTCTCACCATTTAGTGAGAAGATTGATGAAAGATTCAATTTATTATGTGGCAAGAAAACATTTGTAACAAATCAAAATTTTCAGACTACTTTATAAAATTATTGAAAGAAATGCACATTGACTTGCTTGTTTAATTGTTTATATGTATGCAGAGGTCAAAGAGGTTAACAAATTTGTTTATTAACTTAGCAAATATGTAGATCAATATAGGTAAATGAAATGTCAGATTGATCTTATAATTCAGTGGTAATTGTAAAAGTGAGAAGTAAGAATATTTTGTTGATTTTTCTCTCCAGTTCTTTTCATACATACTACATAATTAGTTTAGTTTATACAAATTTATTTTAGTTTGATTGTGTTGGAAGCTATATGCATATTGAAACACCCTCGAATATGTTCCTGGAACCAACCAGAACTAAGCAATGAATTTAAAGTTCCTTTATTAAGGAAACAACGGCCTGCCCCTGACAGGGTTTGAACCCACGTGATCAGCAATGCTTAGATCTCTAGTCCGACGCATTAACCACTCAACCTTGCTGTCACTGCACTACTACATAATTATAATGCGCTTTTCTTGTTTTTAGCTCACCTGTCACAAACTGACAGGGTGAGCTTTTGTGATCGCTTTTCGTCCGGCGTCCGTCCGGCGTCCGTCCGTAAACTTTTACTTTAAATGACATCTCCTCATAAACCACTAAGCCAATTTCATCCAAACTTCACAGGAATGTTCCTTTGGTGGTCACCTTTAAAAATTGTTCAAAGAATTTAATTCCATGCAGAACTCTGGTTGCCATGGCAACCGAAAGAAAAAACTTTTATTATCTTCTTTTAAAAAACCGAAAGAGCTAGAGCTTAGATATTTGGCATGAAACATCTTCTAGTGAGTGTCTACCAAGTTTGTTCAAATAAAAGCCCTGGGGTCAAAATTGGCCCCGCCCCAGGGGGTCGTTGATTTTCCCTATATGCATATAGTAAAAACTTAAAAATCTTCTTTTAAAGAACCAAAAGAGCTAGAGCTAAGATATTTAGCATGAAACATCTTCTAATGAGTGTCTACCAAGTTTGTTCAAATAAAAGCCCTGGGGTCAAAATTGGCCCCGCCCCAGGGGGTCGTTGATTTTCCCTATATGCATATAGTAAAAACTTAAAAATCTTCTTTTAAAGAACCAAAAGAGCTAGAGCTAAGATATTTAGCATGAAACATCTTCTAATGAGTGTCTACCAAGTTTGTTCAAATAAAAGCCCTGGGGTCAAAATTGGCCCCGCCCCAAGTGGTCTTTGATTTTCCCTATATGCATATAGTAAAATCTTAAAAATCTTCTTTTAAAGAACTCAAAGAGCTAGAGCTAAGATATTTAGCATGAAACATGTTCTAATGGGTGTCTACCAAGTTTGTTCAAATAAAAGCCCTTGGGTCAAAATTGGCCCCGCCCTGGGGATCATTGATTTTCCCTATATGTATATAGTAAAAACTTAAAAAATCTTCTTTTAAAGAACTCAAAGAGCTAGAGCTAAGATATTTAGCATGAAACATGTTCTAATGGGTGTCTACCAAGTTTGTTCAAATAAGAGCCCTGGGGTCAAAATTGGCCCTGCCCCGGGGGTCATTGATTTTCCTTATATGTGTATAGGAAAAACTTAAAAAACATCTTTGAAAAAAACCCAAATAGCTAGAGTTTATAAATTAAGCATGAAACATGTTCTAATGGGTGTCTACCAAGTTTGTTCAAATAAAAGCCCTGGGGTCAAAATTGGCACCGCCCCGGGGTCATTGATTTTTCCTGTATGTATATAGTAAAAACCTAAAAAATCTTCTTTTAAAAAACCCAATGAGATACAGCTTAGATGTTTAGCATGAAACATCTTCTTATGGGTGTCTACCAAGTTTGTTCAAATAAAAGCCCTTGGGTTGAAATTGGCCCTGCCGGGGATAGGGGAGGGCAGATCATTGTTTTTCATTTTAAGTGTGTACATCATGAAACATCTTCCTATAGGTGTCTTCCAAGTTTGTTCAAATAAAACCCCTGGGGTTTAAACTGGCCCCGCTCCAGGGGCCTACATATAGGTGAGCGACCTTAGGGCCATCATGGCCCTCTTGTTTATGCAAGTTATTTTTTAATTGAAGTATATTTATCTCATTTATGCCTGTTGTAGAAGATAATATATCAAAATAAAATGTGTATAAGTTTAATCATAATAATTTGGTTTATCACTTGCAGCTGATATATATTCTTTCAGGTTTATATGTAACTTACTCAGAGTCTTTGTAATTATGCTTTTTGCCTATAAGAAAAATTGAGCCGTGTCATGACAAAACCAATATAATGGGTTTGCGACCAGCATGGATCCAGACCAGCCTGTGCCTCCGTGCAGTCTGATCAGGCTCCATGTTGTTTGCTATCAGTTTCTCTACTTGTTTTAGGGTTTGTAAGCAAACTGCATGGATCCTGATCAGACTGCGCGGATGCACAGGCTGGTCTGGATCCATGCTGGTCGTAAACCCATTACGTTGGTTTTGTCTTGACACAGCTCAATTGTTGATTTTTGAAAACAGGGATAATGGCTCAAGAAAAATAACTGTCGGGCAAAATTTGAGATCCAAACAAAATCAGCGCATTCTGTGCTTTGATTGAATCTGGGACAAAAGATATTTTTTGTCCCAGAATTAAGACAGTGATCTGGTCTGTACCTGTTTCAGTTGTAGTAATTTGCGTCAGACATAATTAATTAGATCAACATGAGCTGTCCTACTTATCTGGCGGGAAGTTAAAGTTGTGCATTTTCTTTACCAACATTGTGTCTCTTCAACCACTTTACACATCTTTACATCATAATAGGAGGTCAATTTCTAAAGTCAGTAAGCACTCAATGAACAAAGAAAAAATCCTTGTTCAAGTTCCACATGTAACATTAATTTCCAAAGCCACTTAAGGATTTCACTTGAAGCATGAGGCATGTTTTTTTTTCATCATAATTGGAGGTCAATGTCCAAGGTCCATAGTCCAAGGCATGGATTTTGACTGAATAATGACCATTTTTGACCTTGGAAACATGCATCATTATTCTTCAAAACTATTGAAGGTATCTAAATGAATACAATTTTATTTTGGAATGGTATTTGGATTTCACTGTCAAAGGCTCAGAATGCTTTGCATGTATTTTTAATGGCACATTAAATAATGGTTTTAGATTATGTTTGATGCTTTTTACCAAAAGGAATGTAAGGCTGAATGTGAAATTATTTGTCAAATATGTAGTAAAATGTAAACAAAGTAGTATTTTGACTTCCATACAAAGTACAAATTACTGCTACTGTACTAATTTCCATACAGCAGCAGAAGCAAAATATGGTTAAGTTAAATTGCCTATGAGTATCTTTTTGGAAACTACTATAGGACACAAAATATAAAAAGCTTTTGAGAAATGAAAATAAAGGTATATAAAAGTATTTCTGAGGCATACTGGTCCACAATGGTAATTTGTGAACGTAGAAAGTTCAGCTCTTGTTATATATATTTAGCCTGTGTTATTGACTGATGAATGTTTGTTTTTAGAAAGTTCAGCTCTTGTTATATATATTTAGCCTGTGTTATTGACTGATGAACGTTTGTTTTTAGCTCACCTGTCACAAAGTGACAGGGTGAGCTTTTGTGATCGCTTTTCGTCCGGCGTCCGTCGTCGGTCGTCCGTAAACTTTTACTTTAAATGACATCTCCTCATTAACCACTCAGCCAATTTCATCCAAACTTCACAGGAATGTTCCTTTGGTGGTCACCTTTGAAAATTGTTCAAAGAATTTAATTCCATGCAGAACTCTGGTTGCCATGGCAACCAAAAGAAAAAACTTAAAATATCTTCTTCTAAAAAACCCAAAGAGCTAGAGCTTAGATTTTTGGCATGAAACATCTTCTGGTGAGTGTCTACCAAGTTTGTTCAAATAAAAGCCCTGGGGTCAAAATTGGCCCCGCCCCAGGGGGTCATTGATTTTCCCTATATGCATATTGTAAAAACTTAAAAATCTTCTTTTAATGAACCAAAAGAGCTAGAGCTAAGATATTTAGCATGAAACATGTTCTAATGGATGTCTACCAAGTTTGTTCAAATTAAAGCCCTTGGATCAAAATTGGCCCCGCCCCAGGGGGTCATTGATTTTCCCTATATACAGATAGTAAAAACTTTAAAAAATCTTCTTTTTAAGAGCACAAAGAGCTAGAGCTAAATTATTTAGCATGAAACATCTTCTAATGGGTGTCTTCCAAGTTTGTTCAAATAAAAGCCCTTGGGTAAAAATTGGCCACGCCCCAGGGGGTCATTGATTTTCCCTATATGCATATAGTAAAAACTTAAAAAATCTTCTTTTAAAGAACTCAAAGAGCTAGAGCTAAGATATTTAGCATGAAACATCTTCTAATGGATGTCTACCAAGTTTGTTCAAATAAAAACACTGGGGTCAAAATTGGCCCCGCCCCAGGGGGTCATTGATTTTCCCTATATGCATATAGTAAAAACTTAAAAATCTTCTTTTAATGAACCAAAATAGCTAGAGCTAAGATATTTAGCATGAAACATGTTCTAATGGATTTCTACCAAGTTTGTTCAAATAAAAGCCCTGGGGTCAAAATTGGCCCCGCCCCAGGGGGTCATTGATTTTCCCTATATACATGTACATATAGTAAAAACTTAAAAAAATCTTCTTTTAAAGAACCCAAAGAGCTAAAGCTAAGATATTTAACATGAAACATTTTCTAATGGGTGTCTTCCAAGTTTGTTAAAATAAAAGCCCCGGGGTTTAAACTGGCCCGCTCAGGGGGCCTATGTACAGGTGAGCGACTTCAGGGCCATCATGGCCCTCTTGTTTACAATACCAACATCTTTAGGTTTTTATGTTAATAAAAAATGTTGTTAATCATTTACACTACCATTTAGTGAAAAAGCAATGCCATTAACCTGATTTTCCAATACCTTTTACATAATGGAGTTTATTGTAATAAATAACGCAACATTTAAACATTTGTTTATCATTCATTTATGTTTGACTGAGATCATAGACTTATAAAGATAAAAAAAGATGTTATTTTTAACTTGACTTTTTTAAGACAAAATTGATCTTCTGTAACAGTCGTGTTGTCCCCTCCCATACCTGTTGTCTGTACGATATAAAAAAGTAAAGTCATTGGTTTTTTAGCTCGACTATTCGATAAGAATAAGTAGAGCTATTGTAGTCACCCGAGCGTCGGCGTTGGCGTCAGCGTCCGCGTCGGCGTAACCACTTATGTTAAAGTTTTTGTAATAGTTCAAATATTTTTAAAGTCCATTGACATATGGCTTTGAAACTTTGCACACTTGTTCACCATCATGACCCCAACCTGTAGACAGGAGGAGGTAACTCTATCAAGCATTTTGACAGAATTATGCTCCTTTTTCAACTTAGAAATTGCGTTAAAGTTTTTGTAATACCTCGAATATTTTCAAAGTCCATTGACATATGGCTTTGAAACTTAGCACACTTGTTCACCATCATGACCCCAACCAGTAGACAGGAGGAGGTAACTCTATCAAGCATTTTGACAGAATTATGCCCCTTTTTCGACTTAGAATTTACGTTAAAGTTTTTGTAATAGTTCAAATATTTTCAAAGTCAATTGACATATGGCTTTGAAACTTTGCACACTTATTCACCATCATGACCCCAACCTGTAGACAGGAGGAGGTAACTCTATCAAGCATTTTGACAGAATTATGCCCCTTTTTCGACTTAGAATTTATGTTAAAGTTTTTGTAATAGTTCAAATATTTTCAAAGTCCATTGACATATGGCTTTGAACTTTGCACACTTGTTCACCATCATGACCCCAACCTGTAAACAGGAGGAGGTAACTGTATCAAGCAATTTTTTTACTATCAAGCACTAAGAATAGTCGATCGTTGCTGTCCTACCAACAGCTCTTGTTATGCTCCCCAAAGGGTTGCCATGGCAACCGAAAGAAAAACTTTAAATATCTTCTTTTAAAAAACCCTAAGAGCTAGAGCTTAGATATTTGGCATGAAACATCTTCTAGTGACTGTCTATCAAGTTTATTCAAATAAAAGCCCTGGGGTCAAAATTGGCCCCGCCCCAGGGGGTCATTGATTTTCCCTATATGCATATAGTAAAAACTTTGAAAATCTTCTTTTAAAGAACCCAAAGAGATAGAGCTAAGATATTTAGCATGAAACATCTTCTGGTAAGCATATAGTGGCTGCTTTGTCCGTCCGCACTACTAACCATAGAAATGGCCCTTTATCCCTATTCGGCCGGATGTCCGTCTGTCCGTACAAACATATAGATACTTTGGTGGCTATGGGAACAATTTTCTTAGATGCTATTCATTCAGTAAGCTCTTATGAGGCTACTTTTTAGCTCACCTGTCACAAAGTGACATTGTGAGCTTTTGTGATTGCTTTTCGTCCAGCGTCCGTCCATAAATTTTTACTTTAAATGACATCTCCTCATAAACCACTTAGCCAATTTCATCCAGACTTCAGAGGAATGTTCCTTTGTTGGTCACCTTTAAAAATTGTTCAAAGAATTTAATTCCATGCAGAACTCTTGTCTACCAAGTTTGTTCAAATAAAAGCCCTGGGGTCAAAATTGGCCACGCCCCAGGGGGTCATTGATTTTGACCATATATATATATATATATATATATATATATATATATATATATATATATATATATATATATATATATATATATATATATATATATATATATATAGTAAAAACTTATAAAATCTTCTTTTAAAGAACTCAAAGAGCTAGAGCTTAGATATTTAGCATGAAACATGTTCTAATGGGTGTCTACCAAGTTTGTTCAAATAAAAGCCCTGGGGTCAAAATTGGCCCCGCCCCGGGGGTCATTGATTTTCTTTATATGTGTATAGCAAAAACTTAAAAAATCTTCTTTGAAAAAACCCAAATAGCTAGAGTTTAGATATGAAGCATGAAACATCTTCTAGTGAGTGTCTACAAAGTTTGTTCAAATAAAAGCCATGGGGTCAAAATTGGACCCGCCCGGGGGTCATTGATTTTCCTTATATGTGTATAGTAAAAACTTAAAAAACATTCTTTGAAAAAGCCCAATGAGCTAGAGCTTAGATGTTTAGCATGAAACATCTTATTGGTGTGTACCAAGTTTGTTCAAATAAAAGCCCTTGGGTTAAAATTGGCCCTGGGGGGGGGGGGGGCGGAGGCCTATATACAGGTGAGCGACCTCAGGGCCATCATGGCCCTCTTGTTCTCCTAGGTGGCTAAAAAAACAATAGAGAGAACAAAAGAGTAGCCACTTAAGTACCAAACGTTGAGCACATCCATCCAATTGTCCATCCGTCCATCCGTCCGATTTTCTTGTCTGGGACATAACTCTGTAACAACAATCTATTTGAATGACCCTGCTTTGTCATTATGCTATTATAGCCTATAACTTTGTCATTATGAAGAGATTATCTTTCTACTTGGACACAACAATCCTTCGTTATATCTGAGCAGACTAACGGTACAAAAGAGAAAGAACTGGGCAGAAATACTTTTGATGTTATTAATTTCATAATAGTGGTATGTATGGTACTGTACAGTACTGTATGTATTCTATGATTAATTACTGTCTATCCGCCTGTCAGGGCACAAAAAGTAGATTTCGCTGTTGAGAACGGACGCCAGACATGTCACCAGACAGACATGCTCTTAAGGGGGTTTATTCCTAGGAGTATCAGCTAAAGATATGAATTCTTAGCCAAAAGTAGGTGACAGTACGGCGGTCAATGAGAACCTTAAAGAACAGTAAAAATGAGACAATATAAAA